TTAATATTTTTAGTCATAAGCACACTTTTAAAAGACGTGCACCATAGTGTTTCCGCAAACATTAAATGGAACAGTGTGGCTTTCCTTTGTAAATACAGCATTGAACCTGTCCAAGTCTGTTTTGTCTATTAAAAACAGGATCTGGGGAGCACAGCAGGCTGCTCTGCTTTCTTATGGAGTATCGTCCCGAGCTTCTTTTGATAATCTGAACCGTTTATATTGTAGAATTAGTCTAGTAGATCATTCATACAAAAAATCAAATTGATTGGATACCTGCAGCCTTATAACCAAAGCACATTTGTTTTTATAAAAATTAACGATTAACATAATTTTCTTAAATTTTTATTAACTTGATTTTTTACGTGAATAATATTCTAAACGAAATCTATAATATCAGCGATTCAGAGTATTAAAAAACATTCGGGACAAAGTCCACAAAGGAACGTGCTATTCCAAGTCCTTAAAAACACACTTAACACCAGATCCAACGAAAGAGAATCCGAAGATGTGAAAGCAAAAAACCAAACCCTAGTTTTAAAAAACACAAATATTTGACAATAATTGAGAGAGAGAGAGAGAGGTGGTCCTCTCTAGCTAGTTCAGGAAAAGGAAAAGTCAGATAAAGAGTTGTGGATAGAAGCTTCACTAACCTGTAATCCTTTGTATAAAAAAACCCCCTTTTTTTTACTTTGGGTTGTGTGAACAATAACCATGATCAGGTAATGTAATTTGTAGTTTTCTTGAAGCCATCCAACTCACTTTTGCTTTTCAAAGTTGTTTGTCAATGTGCTTTTCTTACTTTTCACTTTTCTCTTCACTTGGTCAAGTAAAACTGTAAAAAATTGGGATACACTTCTGGCTAGTTTAGTTAGACTTGTGCAGTCTTCACATATCTTATCCTGGTGATTTAAATTATTTATCTTATCAATTTATTCATGTATTATTTATAAAAAAAAAATTACAGATTAATTTGATAATCATTAACACATGATTTTATTAAGTTTGATTTTTTAAAAAAAATGAACGTCAAATATATTTTCAAAAATAGACAAATCAATTTTTTAAAGATGAATGTAATAAAATCACGGCAGATGAACTATACACAAAAATAAATAATTTAGATTGTTAAAATGAAATTATGGTGGTTGTGTAATCTATAAATAGACTAGAGAGAAATCTAATTAAAAAAATAAAATCATATATATTAGAGAGAGAGAGAGAGAGTCCGTATTAAAAGTAGGCTCCACAGCCCACAATAATGGTGATTATTTTAATAGGTTGTTTTAGTATGTTAAAATATTTATATTTGAAAAGATGATTAATTTTTTTTATAATTAGATGTGATATTTGTGAGAAAAAAAGTGAAATAATTATAATTTTGATATGATATTTTATTTTATGAACTATTTTAACTTATTTTATCTTTTTATAAATTTTAACTCAAAAAAATTCTAAACCTTACTTGCCAAACAGGACCAATGTATGTAGTAGGTCAGCCTATAATTGGGTGGAAGGCACATTTGACCTCATTCATGTGATTTGCCTCAACTTCTAAAAGCTAATTTTAAAAAGTAATAATAAATAGTTCGGTAGCACCCAGAAGGTAGTTGAGATCACCTTAACAGTGTCGCAGTAATTCTAGTACTTTCCCCAAAAAAAACACCACTAAATTATGCATCTGCATGCTTTGCAAATTATTTTTAAAATGTAGTAGTAGTTGTAAGTAAGTGCAACAATAAATTCTTCTTATGATCATGCAGTTGAGTTGTCTCTAACAAGCTGACAAAAAGTGAGTTGGAGGAAGGATAAAGAAGTTTATTGGATAGGTTTATTATTATTATTATTATTTGTTTTTCTTTCCTCTTTGTTATTTATAGAAACAAACAAACAAAAAAATAAAAAAAAGTAAATGGGAATCGAAAAAACAACTATAGAAGACACTTCACTTCTATGGTACTTAAAAAAAATTTGATAAAGAGAATTTTCTTTTGGGTAGAAGAAGAGAAAATGAATCTGATAGTGTATGAATAATATACACTATTTGATTGGTTTAAAAATGTCAAGTAAAAAAAATATGTTGATTCCATTTAAACTTATGAATTCTAACGTCGTATTTGGTTGGAAGATTTGATAAGGGAAAGAAAAAAAAAGAAAGTAAAATGTGAATAAAATATACCTACATTTCACACAGTTTCACATATTTTTTCTTTTGTTTTCTAAATTTCTTCTCAAATTTGTAACGAAACACAGCGTAACAGATTTTGACCAATTAAATTAAAATTGTTATTATTTTGTTAAATTTGTGAATAAGATCTAACTCTAAGAAGACTCATCAAACTATAAGGAGCATTAATTCATAAATCAAAATTAATTCTCCATTAATCAGGAAGAGAATAAGACAAATTTCGTGCTAGTTATGGTGTTTTCTATCACGTGAGACACGACAACATGACAATTCACATTTTTAAAGCAGCATTGGATCCAACGTAAGTTAGGAGGGCCATCTTCCATTGTACTACCTTTTTGTTTTGAAGTAAACACAAATGCTAAAGAGCAAATTATCAAATAAATGGTGAATGAGAAACTTATTACTAATTTAATAAAGTTTTTTCAAAATTTCAAGCTTTTAATGAAGTAAAATTAATTTAAAATGATAAAATTTACATTTGAGGATGGGTTGGGGCCAGAGTGGAATTAAGAGAAGATTATAGAGGTCAAACCCTTTTATTTTTATGAAAAAATCTGTTCACCATAACACTTTTAAAAAAAATATATATATATATATCATTCTTCTATCATCTTACTTTATCTTTTCATTTTATACCAAAAAATTTCTTTATTTTAATAGAAATTACTTTTATAGTATTTGAAATTTTTTTTTTGTTTGTTTATATATGTAGTTGATATATCATGTTATATATTCAAGTGTGTTTGTATATATGGTGAAAAAAAATTATGGGACATTTTTTTATAAATTCCTTTTCACTTATGTTATATTTAGTTCACATTATTGTTTTATATTCTAATAAGTCCTATCAGTGATATAGTTACCAAAATACCCATAATAATATTCACATTTACAATGTAAATGTTCCATGATGTGAATGTTCAAACTATCAACGTGAACATTCACACGTCAATGTGAATATTCACATTGTAAAATATGAATGTTTACATCACCAAATTTCTAACCGTTCAAAAAATATTTGTAAGGATAGAAATGTCTATAAAATACTTTAAATATGAAAATTAGGATTTGGTAGTTCAAATATCCAAATAATATGACTTATTGAAATATAAAAATATCTTATCGACTAATTGAGTTACAAATACTAGAAAAAAGATTTTCTAATAAATCTCTCAAAAAATATTTGTCTTTAATCTTTCTAATAATGAAATTCCTTGATTGGGACAATTGTAATTGCTAGGATTTTGAGAGAGAGGGGGCAAGGGAGTGACCCAAAATGTGAGAGTCTGTTGCGGATGGAGTTGGGGATGAGAGTGACATTAGAGGGTTTTACAGGGGTGGGGGAAGAAGGGGATGATATATATATATATATATATGAGGGGGAAAGGAAATTGTTAAAAATTTATAAAACGAAAACCATATTTTCTCCATTTGAAATTATTCTCTCTCATTTCATTTATGCTGAAATTTTAAAAAATATCCATTGAATTGAAATTGTTTTTCCCATGGTATTTTCCCAACAATAAAAACGGTAGATAAAATGTAAAATATTATTTTTAGAAATAGGAAATTAGAGAAAAAAATTATTACAACAGTGCTACTACGTTATCAGTGACATTTTATATCACCATCGGATCATAATCTACCACATAAGTGTATTTCACCACACTTTGTAAATGTGTGACTTAGTGGGATGAATTAGATAGATGTGTCACTTAATGGGATAAGTTAGATAGACGAGTTACATTTAAATAGTGAAATTCACTTTCTTATATAATATCATATTATTAAGAGTTTGGAATTGTTGCTGCGTATAATGTTGCGTGTTTTATTGGGCCTATTTCAGGGTCTAATTCGATAATCTGAACCGTTCACATTCTAGGAGGTATCATGTAGAATATACCTACAAAAAATCACGTCAATCGAATACCGTTATCTCTTTCATCAAATCACATTTGTATTGAATTTTATATTTCAAATTATATTTATCTTTTCTTTTTTCTCTTTTTAAATACAAATGTGATTTGATGAAAAGGCCAACGATATCCAATTAATGTGATGTTTACAGGTATATTTTACTTAATGCTTTTTAAAATGTGAACAATTTAAATTATCGAATTAGGTCTTGAAATGAACCTGTAAAGTGCGCAACCGTTGTTGCTGCGCACCATACAGCAGCAACCCTAAACTGGTATTTTTGTGTTGAGCCTTTTACTCAAGCCATGTGGTGGTCATTCATACAAGAGGAACTAGAATAATTATTTTCTTTTTAATTTAGAACGTCAAGTTTGGAAGTTTTTTTTACTCAACATTTTTTTTTTAAAATTTTAAATAACAATAATTTTTATAGACTTTTAAAACCCATCATTTTTTTTTAAAATAATTAATGTTATTAAAAAACACACCAAAAAAAAAAAAAACAAGAAGTGAAAAAAACAAATTTAACAAATGACTTAAAAAGTAAGAAGGAATTAATTACATAACAGTGAGAAGTGAGAAAGTTATTTACCAAAAGGTGGGGATGCAATTTTGTTATTTATTTATTTTTTTGTTTTGTTTTTGTTTTTGTTTTTTTAACTAAAATGGGCCATGCAAGCTCCGCGAGTCCCCAATTCCGGACTAAGACATTGTTTAAAATAACGTATAAGGGCCCCACGTCGAGAGACGATAGAAGATTGAAATCGGATGAAAGTGTTTTTGAGCCGATTCCTAACCACTAAACCCCACACCCAAGGGCTGCTGGGTTTTCTTTGCGCGCGCACACACAAAAAAAAAAAAAAAAACACCAAAATAGGAACAAAAAGATTTATACGGGAAGGATTCCCTCTCATGATACTGGTAACCAGCAGCATAGCTTGTTTGTTTGCAGGGATTTATCATACAATAGCCTAACTGGATCTGTGCCTCAGTTTCTATCAGAACTGCCTGCTTTGGAGATTTTGTAAGTTATGGAAAATTTTGTTTTCTAAGTTTAAATCTTGAAGCAGAGAAAATATGTGACATTGTTTGTTTTGCATTTTTCAGGAATTTAACAAGCAACAATCTCACAGGTTCTGTTCCCAAGGCTCTGATGGAGAAGTCCTCCTTGTTATTAATGTGTGACTCGTTCTCATCTTTGTTTCATTAAGAATGTTGGAATGAATATTCTATAATTCATAGAAAATGTTTTGTTGTAGTACGGATGGCAATCCCAATCTCTGTCGGTCGGACACCTGCGAACAAGCAACAAAGAAGAAGAAGAAGAATCAGAGCACTACTGCAATAGTTGCATCTGTTGTTTCCTCCATTGTATTTTTAAGTGCAATAGCTATCTTGTGGAGCTTAAAGAGGAGAAAACATAAAGGTAATAGTTTTTCTATATATTCCTTCATTCTGGTATTTGGTTTACATTCAAGAAATTATTTTCTCAATTACCTAAAGTCTTACTTGTATAATTTGATCTTTGCCCATGAACGACTCCTAAAAGGCAATGTGGGAGGCAAGACATTGAAGTTGAAAAATTGAAGATTCTCATACTCTGAGGTTGTGAGTATTACAAATAATTTCGAAAGGGTAATCGGGAAAGGAGGATTCGGAACAGTTTATCTTGGCTACTTGAAAGATGGCACTGAAGTTGCTGTCAAAATGCTCTCTCGATCATCAAGTCAGGGATCCGAACAGTTCTGGACTGAGGCAAACTTCTTGACACTTCTATATTTTAGTACTCTTTCTTACACATTCCTCCTCACCTCCTCTCTATTTATTTCTTTCCCTTGCTCAAGTATTTTAGATTATGAAGATAGCGGAAGGAGTTGGCGACTAGGTGTTGAAGACAATGTGAGAGTGGAAGGTGTTGCGGGATGGGGTCAAGAAAAGGGATGGGGTGTGTCAAAGTAGGTTTAGGGGTACGCAAGGAGAAGATGGGGTGGTCAGGGATGGGATTATGAGAAGACTATAGGGGGCTATAACTTCTTTATTTTTGTGAAAAATTCTGTTTACCATAGCACTTTTAAAATATATATCTTATTTTATAAATAAAATGATCTTTCAGTATGAAATATAAATATATATATATATATATATATATCATTCTTCTATCATCTTACTTTATCTTTTCATTTTATACCAAAAAATTTCTTTATTTTAATAGAAATTACTTTTATAGTATTTGAATTTTTTTTTTTTGTTTATATATGTAGTTGATATATCATGTTATATATCCAAGTGTGTTTGTATATATGGTGAAAAAAAATTATGGGACATTTTTTTATAAATCCCTTTTCACTTATGTTATATTTAGTCCACATTATTGTTTTATATTCTAATAAGTCCTATGAGTGATATAGTTACCAAAATACCCCTAATAATATTCACATTTACAATGTAAATGTTCCATGATGTGAATGTTCACACTATCAACGTGAACATTCACACGTCAATGTGAATATTTACATTGTAAAATATGAATGTTCACATCACCAAATTTCTAACCGTTCAAAAATATTTGTAAGGGTAGAAATATCCATAAAATACTTTAAATATGAAAATTAGGATTTGGTAGTTCAAATATCCAAATAATAGGACTTATTGAAATATAAAAATATCTTATCGACTAATTGAATTACAAATACTAGAAAAATGATTTTCTAATAAATCTCTCAAAAATTATTTGTCTTTAATCTTTCTAATAGTGAAATTCCTTGATTGGGACAATTGTAATTGCTAGGATTTTGACAGAGAGAGGGCAAGGGAGTGACCCAAAATGTGAGTCTGTTGCGGATGGAGTTGGGGATGAGAGTGACATTAGAGGGTTTTACAGGGGTGGGGGAAGAAGGGGATGATATATATATATATATATATGGGGGAAAGGAAATTGTTAAAAATTTATAAAACGAAAACCGGGTATGTTTGGTTTGTGTTTGAGAGATGTGTTTTAGAGATAAAAAGTACGAAAAGTTGTTTGGTTTGATTTTTTTCAAAAGATGTTTTGGAAAATTATTTTGAGAGAGAGTTTTGGAAAAAGTAATTGATTTGATGTGTGTGAGAGAGAGATTTGTTTGGAAAACTTGTTTGGTTTACAAGTTTTGAGAAATTTTTTTGGGAAAATTTGTTTGGTTTGACTACTTTTAAAAACTTATTTGTAGAGAAAATTTCCCAAAAATTTTTCACAAATACAAACCAAACGAATATAGGGGCTATTTTCTACATTTGAAATTATTCTCTCTCATTTCATTTATGCTGAAATTTTAAAAAATATCCATTGAATTGAAATTGTTTTTCCCATGTGTAAGAGGGGCTAATTTGAGCCCACTAAATTATTTAGGCCCAATAGCCCAAGATTAGTGGGTCCGAATTTATCGCAAGTCCAAAAATCGGTGGGCCCAGATTTGTCGCCATCAAACGGATTGAATCGCTCTAAGCCTCGAAAGGGTTCGGATCCACGAACCTAGAGACTTACTCGAGGCCGGGACTCGAAAGGGTATATAAACAAGCCTAGAGATCCGAGGCACTCGGACTCGAAAGGATTCGGATCCACGAATCTAGAGATCCGAAGTACTTGGCTTCGAACGGATTCAGACGCAATCTAGAAGTCGCTCCGTCAATGAGTCCCAGAACACTTGCGGGCTCGGAGCTTTTTCGGGATTTACGCACCAGAACCATGGGCGTAATGGAGTTCGAACAAAGGACCCGATCCCGAGGACGGTGAGTGGAAATAAATTCACTCTTCGGTTAAACTAGCCTATACCCGGGTCGAGGTGGCACGACCCCGGGGTCCATGAGACTCGGCAATATTTTTGCGGCAGGACGTCCTTTGGGACTACCCCTGACCCTTTGGGATGATTGGGATCATTGGTTAAGTGTGGCTAAGAAGAAGGGTTCGCCGAGGGACTGATCTCCTCTTCGGGGTTTTCTCATCCTCGGAGAAGTCACCTCCTCGGATAAGTCACCTCCTCGGAGAGGTCACCTCCTCGGACAAGGTGGTTAGAGAGAATATCCCCATGTGCCTTGCACATGGGCTCCATCCTACTCATGAGGTGCCTATAAATAGCACCCACCCATAGCTTTACAAGGGATGGATTTTGGAGATTTTTAACTTTTGGGAAAGAACTAATTTCCCTTCTCCATTATCAACCTTGGAGAGTGAAAGTGGGAGATCAATGGGAGAGCCTTGCCATTATTCTATTCTCTAGCCATTTTTCCTTCTTCTTCACCCAATTTCTTATCTCCATCATCTCCTTTGTTGTTGTGTTCCTAAGTTGAGATTATTGAAGAATCTAAGCCTCTCATCATATTCTAGAGAATTCGAAGTTGTTCTTCAAGGATCTTCGAAGATCTTCGAATTTTCCAACTCCTTTCTTGAACCCTCTCCTACACCATGGTATTTTCCCAACAATAAAAACGGTAGGTAAAATGTAAAATATTATGTTTAGAAATAGGAAATTAGAGAAAAAAATTATTACAACAGTGCTACTACGTTATCAGTGACATTTTATATCACCATCGAATCATAATCCACCACATAAGTGTATTTAACCACACTTTGTAAATGTGTGACTTAGTGGGATGAATTAGATAGATGTGTCACTTAATGGGATAAGTTAGATAGACGAGTTACATTTAAATAGTGAAATTCACTTTCTTATATAATATTATATTATTAAGAGTTTGGGATTGTTGCTGTGCATAATGTTGCGTGTTTTATTGGGCCTATTTCACGATCTAATTCGATAATTTGAACCGTACATTTTAGAAGGTAGCAAGTAGAATATACTTACAAAAAATCACGTCAATCGAATATCGTTATCTCTTTCATCAAATCACATTTGTATTGAATTTTATATTTCAAATTGCATTTATCTTTTCTTTTTTCTCTTTTTAAATACAAATGTGATTTGATGAAAAGGCCAATAATATTCAATTAATGTGATGTTTTACAGGTATATTTTATTTGATACCTTTTAAAATGTGAATAATTTAAATTATCGAATTAAGTCCTAAAATGAACCCCGTAAGGTGCGCAACCTTTTGTTGCTGCGCACCATACAGCAGCAACCCTAAACTGGTATTTTTGTGTTGACCCTTTTACTCAAGCCATGTGGTGGTCATTCATGCAAGAGGAACTAGAATAATTATTTTCTTTTCAATTTAGAACGTCAAGTTTGGAAATTTTTTTTACTCAACATTTTTTTTTTTGTAATTTTAAATAACATTAATTTTTATAGACTTTTAAAACCCATCATTTTTTTAAAAATAATTAATGTTATTAAAAAACACACCAAAAAAAAAAAAAACAAGAAGTGAAAAAAACAAATTTAACAATTGACTTAAAAAGTAAGAAGGAATTAATTACATAACAGTGAGAAGTGAGAAAGTTATTTACCAAAAGGTGGAGGTGCAATTTTGTTATTTTTTTATTTTTTTGTTTTGTTTTTGTTTTTTTAACTAAAATGGGCCATGCAAGCTCCGCGAGTCCCCAATTCCGGACTAAGACATTGTTTAAAATAACGTATAAGGGCCCCACGTCGAGAGACGATAGAAGATTGAAATCGGATGAAAGTGTTTTTGAGCCGATTCCTAACCACTAAACCCCACACCCAAGGGCTGCTGGGTTTTCTTTGCGCGCGCACACGCAAAAAAAAAAAAAAAAGTCACTAAATGTGTTTGTAATTTTTTTTGCTCTTCTACAATGATTTGTAATTTTTTCTAAAGAACAATTTTCATAAAAGAAACAAGGAAAAAAGTAATTAAAGTGGCATAGTGTGAAATTTATGTGTGAGATAAATCTAAATTATAAATTAATATTTTAAATAAAATTCTAAATAAATATTCTGAGTATGTAATATTGATGGAATTACTACATTTTGGGTAGGGGGAAGGGTTGGGATAGTGCTAGTAACAAAAATGATACAGACCTTTTTATTTTCTTTTTTTTTTTGACTCCCACAACTCCTTACAGACACATGCCAGTCAGAAATAAAAATAAAAAAACATAAAATAAAAAATTAACCAATCACAATTTGTTAAGAATGGTGAGAGTCCTCCAAAAAACGAAGTCTCAACCCTTTTTGCCTTCTAATAAAGTCTAGTATTGTCGAGGGGTCTTACAAATGGTCGGCGTACAACCAACGGTTCAAGTTGACTAGAACTTCACAAGTAACAAATTTCCACAATGCATTTGTGTTTTAAAACAATAGGGAAAATTAGACATCAGTGATATTTTTATAAAATATTTATAAATTAATAGAAAAATTTATAATTTTAATTATTAATATTTATAAAATTTATCATTAATTTAATTAATTATTTTTTTTCAAAAGATGCACTGAATGATAATTTTCCCTTCAATAATTTGACTTCTCTTTAAATATTTGTAATAATCAAAATTTGCTTACTACAAAGTTTTCATAATGGAGAATAAAAATCAAACTTGGTTTTTGGCAAGCCCTGACCTCCAAGTAAGGATGTGAGTATATAGGAGTCGCCGACCAAGCTAGTTTAGTTGGTTGATTTTTATAGTTCTAATTACATCAATTTTGTCTTTTAATATTTCATATTATGTCAATTTAGTTCAATTGATAATATTTGTTAAAAAAAAATTGGATAAAAATTAAAGACAAAACAGTCCATTCAAGAAAGAATAGATAATTTAAAATTAGATGTTAACTACTCAATCACTTTAAAGAGAGTGAATA